TCCATAAGGCAATCATGCCTGGATGAAAGTAGTTATGTATCTATTGGTCTTTTTTGCCCACTCAGCTGAGACAGCTAGAATTCATTCTTAGCTTTTTATAAAAAAAGAAATGGTTATTTTGAAATGTTGATGTAGTGATAAAATTGCTGCTGGACTTACTCCTAAAGACAGGTATATATTGCTGAAAATCTCATCCAGTTAAATGTATTCAATAATGTTATTTTTCGTAAATTAACTGAGAACTTGCTTTTCAGACTGAAGGAAACATGGAATTTGTTGTTATACCAAAGCCAAATAGTCAGAACTTACTGCAATTTACAAATGAATTCTTACAGTGTTTTTCCTTCAGCATTGGGATGACCCATCCTGATAAGATGCCTGAGAAAGGTGGACTGATCTATATGTTCAGTGTAGATTGGATTTCCTAGTCTATCATACATCTGATAAGCTTAGTTTTTGAACTTGCTGATGGTTGTATTGGAAAATATTAGTATGATTTTAGAGAAAGAAATACAGGACACTGTTGGTGAATAAGTAACAGTCTCAGCAGAAGAGAATAGAGGAGGGGTACATTCAGTAACTATCCTGTTCCTCTTCTCCACAGGTTTCTCAAATAGCTACATATTGTATTGTACTGTACTGTACTGTACTGTATTACATTACTGTACTGCCACAGGGTTCTGGGCAGTTGAGGCAAAATTTAAAACTTTAGAATATAATAGCAGCATAAAAAATCATGTAAAATTGCAATGTTTAAAACAGAATAAAACTAGAATAAAAGCTTATGTAAAAGCCAGTAGCAGGGCAAAGACTTTTATGGCACAATCACATTATTATTATTAGTAGTAGTAGTAGTAGTAGTAGTAGTAGTAGTAAAATTAAAATGGGGAGGAAATTATGCCTCAGGTAACATGGTGGCAGACACTTAGGCCATTAGAAGTCAATAATGGTATTGAATCTGGGGACACACTGGAAGCACAACACACAACAGAGTATCATATCAGTTAAATTACGTTGAGGATTATTATTATTATTATTATTATTATTATTATTATTATTATTATAACATTTCTATGCCGCCCCTTGCCGAAACCTCGGATCTTGCTGTTTTTGAACCAGTTGAAGTTTCTGAACTGTTTCCAAAGGCAACTGCACATACAACACATTGGAGTAATGCACACAAGAGGTTACCAGAGCATGTAACTAAGCTATATATCCAGATAGGGTCATGGTTGGTATATCAGCCCAACCTGATGATAGATAGGCACTGTCGCTACTAAGGCCACCTTCAGCTATTGAGTGGTGTAGAAATGTAAGAAATAAACAAGCTGCCCTTCAGTGCAAAGGTAAATTCAAGAGAAACCCCAAACTACAAACTTTACCAGGGCCATTTAAGAAACATAGAATGCTCCCTACTTGAGTATTATTATGCAATGTTTCAAACAGGAATTTTTCCAGCACTACCTGAAGTTGTCAGGAACTGAAGCTGGGACTTCCCATGTGTAAAACATGTGCTCTACCACTTGAACCATGTCAGTTAAAAGAACAGGTTGAACGCTACTCAGTAAGGCAGATTATTAAGGCCTATTAATAATGCCTCCGTCTTGTCTGGATTGAATCTCAGTTTATTAGCCCTCATCCAGTCCATTACTGCACCTAGGCATTGACTTAGAATACCTACTGGACATGATGAAAAGGAGAAACAGAAGTGGGTGTTACATGTATCTTTATGACACGTTGGTCCTCATCTTTGGATAACTCTCCCTAGTTTTTTTCATGCAGCTGACAGAGTGCAGGATAAAATAGAGCCCTGTTGAATCCTACCTCGTCAAGGAGCCAAGCCATATTCTTCTAGCACCGTCTTACCAAATTGACTATCCAAGCAGGATTGTAACTACTACAGCACCTCCAATGCACACTCCACATAGCCTACACAGGGGAATACCATTGTTGATGGTTTTTAAAACAGCTGAGAGGTCCAAGAAAATCAACAGGGCTGTACTTTTGCTGCCCTTCTCTTGGCAAAGGTCACCCTATTCTAAAACCAGACCTGAAGTCCAAGTGAAATGGATTTAGATAATTAGTTTAATTCAAGAATGTTTGAAGTTGACCAGAAACATTTGAGCATTTTGCTTAGGAAGGGGAAATTGGCACTTGGCCTATAGTTCTTAACATCTTCCAGGATTATGTTAGGCTTCTTCAGGAGTGGCCTAATACCGCTTCCTTGAAAGACATCTGAACCATGGCTATCTTAGGGAAGAATTTATAACTTCCTGGAGCCAGAGGTCTTCTCCCTATGAGATGTAATAACCCATGAAGAACAAGGGACAGGTATATGGGTGGCCAGTCAGACTTGACCCAGTACCTTTCCCTGATGTTGGGGTCTTTTTATCTTGCCTCAGTATATGTGTAGCCCTAAGAGCTTCATGAGTGCAATTTTGAAATTGATCCAGTGTGTATGGAACACTACTCTAAATTACTATATACTAAGTATATAATATGCTCAGTGAATTACTGAAGGTTAAAGGGATGGGGCTCACTTTTCCTAGAATGCATCCTTCAAATGTTGTTAAGCGATTCAGATTCTGATCCAGTAGTGAAAGAGGAGGTGGGGTTGGATTTCACAGCTGAAATGCCAAGGCCAGGAGACCCCAAGATAAGCAGTCACTGAGATCAAGACAGTTTCAAGTTCAGTGCAAAAGTCTGATGAGCAAGCTGAGATGGGTGGGAGTGGATTTAATCTTATGGTGTCGTGTAAAGAGACCCAATAATTTAAAGAAATGTCAAATGTTCCAGTCAATTTGCCCATAAGTATCACAGTCCACCTTGAAGATAAAGTTGGGGATTTTGGTTTGGAAGGAGAGGTATTCAGTTCAGAATCAACTTGTTCTTAAGCTGCATTTCCCCAATTGTTAGAATTCTAACTTTGCTTCTTCAGAGGATTCTGTTACCAGTGGTACCAGGAAAGGATCATGGATTGGGGATCTCAGTGAACTAGGCTTTTATGGCAGTTTTCTATTTACTCTTCAAAGTGAACCAAGGAAGTGCATTTTTCCATTATCCTTATTGTTCTTTTTAATACAACAGCTCTTTTTACTTCCCAGATTAGGTTGTTTTTCTTTTTAGGTGTGGAGAGATGTGGGTAAGGCAAGTAGACTCAACAGACTCATCTCTAGTCCTCAAGTCCCACATATAAATATCAATTTCCTCTTTTCCCGTCGCCTACCACTAGGTTAAGCCTTAAAGAACAAAAATAAGATACTTCTTTTGCTTCCCTACATTTGTTCAGTTGTGGATTATGAATAAGTCTGACACCCAGATAAAGAAATCTTCATTGATTCATCAATTCAAATGTGCACAAACATTCATTTGTGAAAAGAAAAAATACGAATTTTGAAACAAGGCATTCATCCTTTGCATTTAGATAATGCACTTTTTAAAAGTAGGTTGTATCTTAGAATATTATTTTCTATATGTTAGGGGGAAAAAAGAAATGCCTTCCATGAGATTATTAGTACTTGAACTAAAAAGTATATTTAAAAAACAAGTCACCTTTACCTAAGAGTAATATTTTTAAAAATCAATGAAAACTAGATGATAATTCTAGTTAATGAAGAACAGTTGCAATTCTTATTTGTACAGTTAGGAATAATAGAAAGAAGAATTTCCCCCCGTCTTTCCCAGTAATAATAAAGTTCACCGAAGAAGATTGACAAGAGGTTCAGGGTTTTTTTTAATTTTTTTATTTTATTGACAAGTTCACATGTCAATAAACAGTGAACAAGTTCACATGTCAGAGTAAGTGTTCCGGGGGATAAGTCATGGTGAGTAGGTCATCTGTCACTCCTGGCGATCACCTGCTTGGAAGCAAGCCATGACTTGGTCTTTTTAGCAAAATTCTTCATTTGCTGCCTCATGATCTGTTCTTCAATTGGTCTGCTGGAATTGCTGACTAACAGGGAAAGCTCCCTGGTGCATCAGATCACCAAAGTGATTTAACTTTTTGAGTCCTCATTAAAACAGGAATGCAAAACAAAAACAACAAAAAATTAGACTGCCTGTCTGACTCACCTATTGAGTCCAGCATAACCTTTTTCCCACTTTGTCACTGACAGTATCAATTTCATCCACCACTTCAGTGCTTCCCTTCCTAGTGAACACTTTTGTAAAAGTGTTTGCATTCTACTTAACACACATCCCAAAGCTCCTTTTGTCGTACAGCCATCACCCATGTTCTGCTCCCCCACCCTTGTGTTTGTTGCTTCCCTCTATGGGTCTCTCTTTCTGTCAGATGTGCAGTGGGATTATGGAGCTTTGAGTGGGATCACTATAGAAATTTCATTTGTGGAACAGCTACTGAGTGGGTAAAGGTATGCACATTTCAAGGCAGTGTGCCTTAGCAAAATAGAGTTTCCATAAAGCCAGGTTGTATATTCATAAACACTGGGTACTGGAACAAATGACATAACCATCGCCTTCATGCCCTACTTGTGATTGCCTAGAGGAAAGAACCTGTGTACCTGCAGGTGTTGTTGGATTCCTATCAGCCCCAGCCAATGTTCAAGAATGACGGGAACTATAGTGCATCTGGAAGACCAGAGGTTCCCCAATGTGTCCTAGAGGTATATGATTGACTGCTGTTGGAAGCCCAATTAAATTAGTTAAATCTAGCAAAGGAAATTCTAATATTCTTAGCAATGTCAAAGTACATTCTTATTAATGCTAATAGCCATTTAGAAATCCTTTTCAGATTTCTCTCCCTCCAGTACCACTATTATAGCTTAACTTACCATTAAGCAGTAGTTTCATCTGGAGAATTCTCCAATTATTCTTGTTTGTTTGCTTGCTTGTTTTAAACTTACCCTGATTTTGGTCCATGCTGTAGCACAGATGGCTCCACTTTAAACGCTGTATTTCTTTTTCAAAATGCAATAAAATATTTTTGGTAACTTCAAAAAGAAAGAGTTAAGATGCTAACCCACACTCCTTGTTTTAAACAGGCACAGAAATTCTTGGCAAATCAGTTCGTATTATATTCTCTACATTAGGAGTTTGCATATTTTTTGCAATTGGCTACATGTTGCTGCCACTATTTGCTTACTTCATCAGAGACTGGCGGATGCTACTACTGGCTCTTACTGTACCTGGGGTATGCTGCGTTCCACTATGGTGGTGAGTTTAACTGTTCTGAAAGGTGTTCAGCTTCAGAAATGTTCCCTCTGTTGCTGATAACCTTCACCTTACATTGTTATATAACCAGCTGGATTTTTAAAGCAGCCTTTGGTTGCTGTGGATATATTTTTCATCTCTGGCATTTTCACTGTAAAGAGCAGAGAACTGTCTTGAACATCAAACAAGTTCTGGTTCATCTTGAACCCAACTGACTCTGCCTGTTTATTTGAGTACGCCCTGTCCTGTCTCTTCAGGGCTATTTGGAAATTCTTTCTGGGTTATCTTATTCTTTAATCTTCAGCTTTTTGATTGCTTTTTAAAATCTTAATTATTGCTAGATGAACTTTCTTGTACAAACTTTCCCTTTCTTAATCTTCTTCCATCCCTTTCTCTGTGGATGCAACTACAACTCTTCCTGACAGGTAATGTACGCCATGTAGATCATGTGCATTTTTAAGGACAGTAATTGAAGTGTGGCTACATCTATATTGCCCATTCTGGTTCAGATAACATGATTTTGCTTGGATACTTGCTGTATCTTGGACATATATTGGATCTATTGAACCATGTTCACAACAACTTTAACATGACTAGGCAGAGTAGGAATATGGAGTGCATTGGAAGAAAAGTAAATTCATTTTTAGGAATGGATCCACCCCCATAAAACCATTGAGCAACCTAATAGTTATAGTCTTAATGCCTATGTTAAACGAGTAGGATATTATTCAAGTACTAAAACCGGGGGGGGGGGGGAGTTTGAGCTCAGTTTGGTGTGGGATGTTGTGTTTCTCTAGTGTAGCATTTTAAAACGCCTTAGCATGATAGTTCTGTTTGTGTCATGCACATGTATGGTACTCTTGTAGAAGTGGGCCTTGTACGATTGGCCTTGTCTCCAAAGTTACATGGCTGGCCTACCCTTGCCATCCCCACCAGTGTTTGTGCATTGAATGTAAATGTCAGTAAAGGAAACAGTAATATACGGAATCCCTATAAGTACCAAGCATCTTTTACCATAGCCCAGCTCTGTGCATGGCTGTTGGGGTGGGGCTACCCAGGCATGCTATGTCTGCAGAATGTCCTTATTTCACCACTCGAGTGGCCTGTGGCAGTATTTCAACTTACTAGAGCAAGTCCAGCTCCTGCTGTCAGCAGTCTTATCTCCATGGCTATCACCATGCTGTTGCTAAATATTTTAACGGTAAGAATTCTTCTTTCATCCTGAAGAGACCATGAATAAGAGTAAGCCTCACCTCACCAGCCCAGCTAATATTTTTTCACCTCCACTGAAACAGGTGTTCTGAATTGTTAAACTGAAAAACTGAAGTATCCAACTAAATGCCTCTCGGGGACACTTTCATACTTTAACTCAGTGAGGCAACATCTCTGTTAACTATAATAAGAACAAAATTTAAATCTGTGGCACAGCATGCATGTTCTATCTCTCCCATTCCACTACCACAGGTTTCCCTAAATCATATTTTCCCCTAACCCTCTCTTCACATCACTCCCTTTTTTCCCTCTTCCTTCCTTAAACCCACAGTACACACTCTCCTTCCTTTCCCTTGTTCCAGCCCTCTTTTTCTTTGTGTCACCCACCAACCAGTCTCTCTATATAATCCCTCATTTTCTGTCTGTGTTCCCATGCATATCTCTTTGCTCTCCCCTTATTTAACTTAAGGCTCTCTTTTAAGCATACATACAGCATATTCTTTCCCTCCCTAGAAGAAGTTTGCATTAACCATTCATACAGTGATTGTGGACTATACACATGGTTGGCTGATTTGAACAACTACTACATACATGGTAGCATATTCTACCACATGCACTAGAAGGGAGAAGAGGAGCAAGGCAAATACCTCGTATATATACAATCGCTCTTCTGCACCTCCATTTTTGGTGGGCATGCTGATGGGCATGGGTGGGCTTTAGATAGTCCTACCAAAGGAAAAGATGGGAAAGGACCACAAACAATGCGGATTTGAAATGTCCAGTTTGAACATTTCCTGTTCTAGAAATCACCTGTGCTTTTTTGACTTTTTTGACTTGCTTGCTTGAAATAACAATTCAGCAAGGGCTGCAATGCCACAATGTCATATTTTCCCATATCTGTCCCAAACCTCCTTTGCTTAATTAAAAATGAATTAAATTCTATTAAAATATTGTTCTTGTGAAGATGTATGTCACTAATTTGAACACATCAGTTTCAGTTTCTTACTAATATATCGCAGCTGTGCATTTTGAAAAGGTTGATGAGAACCTACTACACTGTTTAAGAAGATAAAGACTTGATATCTCTGACTAGGCTTGACATTTTAGCCTACAGGAAGTGTGTACAGTCTTTTCTCCACTCCATTCTTCACTCCTAGCCTCACTGAGCTTTCCACTTTGACTGCTGGAACATAAATGTTGGATCCAGTCTGTGCTTTCCACCCTGTCAATCCACAATATTACAAAATATCACAATGGAATGACCATAAGAAATTACAAATGTACTCCGGGGTTGATCTTTCTTCCTGAAGTGCCCTTCTACTATTAGTCTTTAGTCTACAAAGATAACGTAGCAGATAATTTTATTCACAACATGCATTTTTTCATATACAGTGGTACCTTGGCTCACAAACGCCTTGGGTCATGAACAAAAGTTTCATGAAAATTTTGACTTGGGTCACGAATTCCACTTTGGGTGGCGACCAAGATCGCAGCCATCTCCCCACCCGCCCAAGTGGGGAGATGGCCATGATTGCAGTCGCATTCGTGCAGGGAACACATGCGTGATCACGGCTGTGCTGTGCTGCGCCCGTCTTTCCTGCAGGAGTACACCCATGATCACACGCATCTTCCCTGCACGAACGCAACTGCAACCCTGGCCATCTCCACACTGGGTGGCGGGGGGGGGGGGGGGGGGAGATGACCGTGATCATGCTGGTGGGAGGGGGGGAGATGGCCAAGATTGCGCCTGTCTTTCCTGCAGGAGCGCGCCCATGCCAGGGTTTCTTTGAGAAGTACCACCCCAACATAAATGTAACGAACAGAGTGTTGAATCTGATGAACAATAATGTGGTCTCTCATTTCCGGAGAGTTATGCAGCTCAGGAAAAAACAAGTGACTATAGACAGATTTTTCACCAAAATTGACCCTGCAGCTAAGAGACAAAGAGAGGAAACCCCTGAAAGAGATCTCCCCAATGTCCTTATGGAGGGGAACTCTCCCTCAAAACAATAACCTCCCCTCCCAACCCAGGTTAGTGTTCTCCACTGTACTGTAGTGTGCTGTACTTTGTTACTTTGTTGTTCTTTGTCACTGTTCTCAAGTCCCTGCCCCCTTCACAATTTTGTTTAGCATAAATCACTTGGGAAACATTAGAGGAGCATGGTTTTCTCCTAGTCCTGAACATGGTGTTTATCAGCTGTTCAGAGAAGGGAAAGAGTTGTGTCCTGGTCCTACTCAGTGTTCTTCCACAGGGACTTCTTCCCTTTGCTTTCTCCGTCGCCACTCCAGATTCTAGCCTTGTTATTTCTCTCATGCTCTTGTTCCTGGCCACCATCTTTCTCTCCCTACCTAGCCTTTAGTCTTGCTTTTTCCTGGTTACCTTTGGCTTGCCATTTCCCTCTCCTTCCCTGCCTCAAACCCTTCTCCCTTCAGCTCTTTTGACAGGTCTCCATGGCAGTCATTATATAAATAGCCACATCCACCATTTTGTGGTGTACCCGCAGGTCCAAAAGGTTGGAGAGCCCCAGTTTATTTCATTAGATAAGATAATCAGTTGTTGAAAGAGGAACACCAATTGGAAGGTAATCATTGGAGGTGACTTTTGTTCAGCATTAATAACTTTAGGGCAGAGGGAGCATATGTCTCACCATTTGAGTTGAGTAGCTACATTATTAGACAGAAACTAAAGTTTTCGCTTCCCACCTTCATTTAGTTTTGTGTCTGTCCTGCTTCTACCCTCATGTTCTTTTCAGTCTTAAATCAGTTCATTCTTCAACATCATTCCCACCCTTGCTAACTTTCAAAAGCATAAAACTCCCTCTTTCTTTCTCATCTGTTCTTGGTTATTTTACTAACGGCCTACTGTTGCAATCTTTTCTTTTATGCCTTTTAAAGATTAGTGCAATTTTAAACAAATTGTCCTTTAATACAAATTAACTCTGGCTGGTTATGTGGTTTCAATGTGAAAAGAGAACAAAAATATGCAATAATTAAGAAGCCTGCCAATGTGTCCTTGACTTGATGAAGCAGCATACAGTGGGGAGGAGAAACTTGTGGCACTTGGCTTGATGCTCAGAAGTTTTGTGTCCTGTGAGGTAAATTATGCTTACCTACCCAGATCTTCCATTTATTTTTAGGTAGACCACAATTTATAAATTTACCTTATTGAATGCTGCTCTTGCTATAGTCATAAACCAAGAAACATGGGTTTTATAGGTCTACATAAATTATATATATTTTAAGTAATAGTGAAATGGTGAAAGGCCTTGTAGTTAGTATTTTTCTCTTTTGTTTTCAATGAATAACTACATGGAGCATGTTCCTTCCCTGTGGAGGGTTCCCCATAGGGTTTAGAACCTTCTTTCTGCCCACATACACTGCCTTCATATATAAGCATGGGCACACCAGGTGGTTTTAGGATGCTGGATGGTTTTCTGTGCCTGCCACGTCCCTGTTCAGCCAATGATCCCACACTCATTTTTTGGGGGGAAGACCAAAACCAGTGGTGGAGTGTTGGATAGGAATATGCCGAATACTTACTGAGGATGAGTGGAGGAACTGGACTGATTTCCCAGCATTCCAGAGAGATTAGTACCATGCACATGAAATAAAGTTTCTGTGCCATTTTCCCAGTGCTGATTTCCCGGAAAGTTAATTTCAATTTGAATACCATCCACATTTAAATATGAAAATATGTAAGATTTAGTTAATTACAGTGCAGATCCAGCTGTCTTCCTTGCAGCAGAAATCTGAGTACTCTTATGCCTCCACTGAGTAAGCCCCACTGAGTTCAGTGGGGCAGGCTTCCTGGTAAGCATACATAGGATGCCATGGCTGATGTTAATATTTAATATGGATGTATCTGTTTTACTGTTAGTCATTTTGGTTGAAAGCTGGAACATACATCAAATAACTCAAGAAGGAAAACAATGGTGCTTTTAAATGTCCCTGGAAAATACGCAATACTGGGCTTGAGATGAGGTCAGATTATGCTTGTGGGGAATTGGATTTTCCTTTAGCAGTCATGAGTGAGCACCTTCTCCTTTTCAGAACCTGCTAGCAGCATATTCAACAAGAGTTTTAGAAAAGGATTAGACAATGCCTGCCAGAAATACTAGCCTTTGGCATCCTGGTTCCATAGATCAGCTTTAGTGTGTACCATGTTAAAAATTCCCATGCTTGGCAAGTGAATGTTAAGTGCAAATGATCAGTGACACAGTATTTTGTCATTATTCCCTGACAGTCTGAGGGGCAAGCACTGCTTTGTCTAAGTCCTTTGTGTGACATAAACTACTGCATAGGGAAGGGAGAGAAGGGCTACTGACTGTCATCATGCAGATAGGATTCAGATCAGGTTCTGGCGCCACCATAAGGAGCTGTCCTTTTGTTCCAGCAATAAGATAATTGCCACCAATCCTGTGTGAACTGTGTGGTCTTAGCGCAGGTACATGAGAAGAATATTCTCCATTAACAAAACATTGAGTTACCATCATCTACTGGTGTGGAAAAAAAATCCTGTTTAATAATGAGTAAAATATTCAGACCAAATGAAATATGGTACTTTACACTGGACGTTCTATCTCTCTGATTTCTGTTGTACAGGAACTAACATGTGCGTTTAACTTATTACAAAAATGATTTCTTATCACTGGTTCAGGTTTTTCGGCAGATATCAGGCTAATTCCTGATATGTTTTTCTGGAAACAGAGTAAAAGACAGTTTCCCCCATCTAAGAAAACAAAATCACAACGTATATAAAAGACAAATGATAATGTATAATGAAAGAGGAGGGGCATTAAATTTGGATTAATCCCAAATACAGGTCCTAGGTAATCACACTTGGATTCTGTGATGTCTATGAGGTGGCACTGCTGATATATTCGCACCTTGCATGTTAGATTTAGGTTTCATTTAAGTAACAGCTTTTTCTGAAATTTGGGAGCTGTTATTCATCTTTATAGTTCCATATAGTTACTATTGAGATGTAATTTTTCCTAAAACTTTACTCAATGCTTGGGAGAAGTCAAAGCACTTGTATATTGATGTGGCCACACACTGTCCCTGAAGTGTTTTTGGATTTCTGGTTTATCAAAATAGGAATATATTACTACGTAAGTAGAAGCATTTATAGATACATGCACTCATGAAGCTCATTTCTACCTTGCTACTGATGTTTGATCAATGCCAGCACCACACTAGAGGTATATTATCTGCACACAGCTTTCATAATGGTTGACTGTGCATTAAAGTTGCTGCAATATGAGTATGTTTACTTTTAACTAAATTTCACTGAAATGAATGTTACTATCGTCCCATCAGAAGTGCTTAAGAATTGGGCTATACGTTGCATTTTAGACCACTAGTTTAAGGAACAGACAATATAATTAGCTTACTTCTAAATTGTGTGTGCCCATCTACTACTGAAGAACTCATTTTTTATTCAGCATAAAAGTAAACAACAGCTTTTCTGTTTATTTTTTAAACTTCTGCAATACACTTATCCTAAATATATTCATAACCTACCCACCCCAGTTCAATGGGATTAAACATAGGAAAAAATAGCACATGCAAGCACACAGAATTGCAACATTCAGGCCTAACTAGATGGGGCAGCTGTGTGTATTATTTCACATGCTTGCCCTTTTCACATAGAAAGTGTGTGGTGTGGGTGGGGAAGACTAATTTTTCCACACAATGGTGTGTCTGAGAAGAGTAAAGCCGCCTTCAGTGTGCTGTGCTGCTTAAAGCACTGTTTCTTTATTAGATTTGTTCAGGTTAGCTCTGATATCAATAGTGATCAGGACTGGAAAGAAAAGTGCTTGAAACCAGTAGAGTTTAGCTCCCCTCACCTTCTCATTTCAAAAACAGATCTCACTCCTGGATCTATTTGCAAATGAGACAGGCACATGAATAAAACATGTGTCTATTATGTCCACATTACTGCTTGGGTCCCCAATTTAAGGAAACAATCTGCTCTGAAAATATCAGCTGGATTATTTGAATTTATTACAGGATTATTCCTGAGTCTCCTCGATGGTTGATCTCCCAAGGAAGAATTGAAGAAGCTGAAGCAATTATTCGGAAGGCTGCAAAAATGAATGGAATCCCATCCCCAGCAATACTGTTAGATCCAGTAGAGGTCAATATTATATTTGTGTGCTTATGTGTCTCTGTTGCTATAAGCCAGTATGATCCCAATTAAAACACCAGGGATATTAGTAAATAGTACATAGTGGCAGTTAACATATGGTAGCTCACAATCATATCATTGTGTTTAATTATTACACCCAAGTTAATTATTAATGTAGCAGCAAGTATCTTAATTTGCTAGGAGACTGTCCTGTCCCATGGCCTAACTGCTGTGGTATTTGTGGCAAGATCTTTGAAAGCTTTAAAGTAGTAAGTGACAAGGAGAATGTTCCTATATCAAGCATAGATGTGTTAACAGTTGCCATCCATTGCCTCCTTGAGTACAGGCTGCTGCTAACAGAGCATGCGGCAAACAGAATGCCTGTATTTTGAACTTCTGCTGATGGTTCTGCCTAAATGCTTGATTAAAGGTAGCTTGCCTAGATAAGGCCAATATCACCAGCTGATCCAGCCTGAGTAAAAATGCCTTGCCTACTCCAAATATGATACACTGCCCATTTGGTAGTTGTCATTTTTTTCTCCTATAGCATGTGTCTGTATTATTCAGCATTAGTTTAGAGCTTGCTAAATTTCTGGTACTTCTGTTATATAGAACAATCGTGCAGGCAATTGTGTAGTTGAATCTAGACCTTTCCAGTAGATCTTCAATCTTGCCTGTAAAGCCGTGACAACTTTATTCTGTAATCATACCATGAATATTCCTGCTATCTGTGTCACTTGGACAGGTGTGTTGTGGGCTGCCAATCTTCCTGTTAAGCTGAGCAACTAAGCATACATTACAGGATAGCTTTATGCATCCTTGCCATTTGCTTCCACATGTGAACATCCAAATAGTATACTGCATGTAATCTGTATCTGGAAACAAGTATCATACATGCATACTTTTTGTAGCGCTTTCTTATGGTATGGGAATTGAACTTACAGCACTCTCCTTCATCCTTTGGAGAGTATTTCACTCTTAAATACTAGAAGAGGTTTAAAGAGAGCATGTGCAGCCTAATATTGCCAAACTGCATTCAGCACAAAGTTTAGAAGACTCCCACAGCATGCTCTTACTTCTCCTTCCTCATGCCCAAACTTAAGGACTCTTGTCTCTTTAATATTTGGTAGCCTGGATAGGAAACTCTAATAGCATTAATCAGCCATTACACAATACAAGAGCAGGTTCTAGCAGTAGTAGTGTCAATTGCAGTAAAGAGTGGGCAAATGCATCCAAAATAATTATTTACAATTTTTTTACAATAAAAATTACAATAATTATTTACAAGGCCAACTTTGTTTAGTTACTTTCTGTCCCAACTTTAGAAGTTTAGAAAGGGGCAGGCAAACATGTTTAGGTAAAGCAGGGAAGTGCAGAAAGTAGATCAGAACCTATTGTTAGTTTTCTGCATGATCTGCAGGCATTTCTGACTCTCCCGTTGTTCAACAGTGGCAACAGTGAAAGGTTTTTCTTACTCTTCTCTTCTAAAGTAAACTGCTGGAATAAAGATAGTGGGGGATGAGGATGGAAACTAGGAATGAAATGCCCCACAGTATTACGGTGACTAGGGAAGTGGGGAGGGCAATTAATGCCTAGATAATTTAAAACATCCCTAGAGCCATCCTCACTTCTTGTCCCTGTAATTGACAACGATGATAACTTGCAGTTGGGTAGAAAAAAAATGCAGGTATTGGGTTAAAAATCCAGGTATTGGGTTATTACGCATGAGTTGAAGGACAGCATACAGCATGTTAGAATTTGCCCAAATAAATAGGTTTATTTTTTCAAGGAGCCAGATATGGCACACTTGCCCTTATATTAGGAAAAAAACACTTTTGAATATATTGTAGATACTTGCTTTTCCCAAGCTGTCAAGATGTAACCATTGCCCTGCAAGGAAAGCCAGAATGAACATCTAATTAGCAAAGTCCTATCTGACATTGTGTTTGCCAAAGGTTACAATTACATAATATTCTCTAATAAAGGGTTATTTTTGAAGTGCCATACATTCCTAGATAGGTTAAATGCTAACTAGACAAGTCCAGGCATGAGGAAGAAAACTCTTCATATCTAAAATGTCTGAAAGTGAGAATAGGTATCTGAGCTCCATCTTGGCTTATCTGTTTACTTAATACTAAGCTGGTTTGGAGTCACATGGTAGCCTTTTTTATTTGTAATAGCACATATGTATGTTAAGCCCTGAACTAAAGCCATTGAGTCTCTTTTTGCCAATGATGGTAAGTATTAATATGAGCTGGGTCTTAGCAAGAAAAGTTAGAATTCTGAAAAAATAATTGAATTCTGAACTGTGACTTGGCTTTGTCATTGCTAGAAGGAAAACTAGAGCCACTCTGTTCTGACCTTTTATTTGTCTGAAACTTGAAATAGATAACTGTTCACATACAGTGGATAGGAATCTACATTTCATAATGCAGCCACCAGTAAATGTTTTTATACAATGAAAGAAGAAGCAAAAGTGAAGCAAAAAGAACCAAGACAAAAAACCTAGCACTGTTTCAACAGCGCCCTTGATCTATTCAATTGGTGATTTCCCTGCAACAGACTTTCAGTCAGTTTGAATTAAGAATTCAATCAGTCTGAATCTTAATTCATGGCTTCAGTTAATTAGACCAGTAGCTTGCTCAAAATGATTTCTCATGCTGTAGTTCGATTATTAGGTGTCCAGGTATTTAAGTTTGGTTTTGGCATTGTTTCTCGTCCCCTTGCTCTTTCCAGGTAGAGCATGTCAAGGCCAAGCAGCAGAAGGGCATGATTCTGGACCTGTTCAGAACTGGAAACGTTGCCGTTATCACTGTCATGTCTCTTCTTTTGTGGTAAGCCAATGGTGAGATCCTAAAACACGCAAGAAGTAACAGAATGTCTGGTTTAGTCCCAGTAAGTACAGCAGGTGCCATTATAGCATATAAAGGCACATCAGTTCATTAAAAATTACTCAGTTTGGCAGTTGGGAAAACAGTATCAACAAACAGTGAACAGTGAAAACAAGGGGCTGGGGCCAGACTAGCCTCCCTGAGGTAGGGAGTTCCATAATCTGATAGCTGTTATGTTCTTCCTGGCTTTCTTGTACTTGGGAACACAGCTTTCCTTACCATCAGTTCCTATTTATTAAAACCAGTAAATTTCTATGAGCAATCCTTACTGCAACATAGAAATGAGAGGAAAAACCCACCTTTTTAATAATAATAAATGCTTTAGAAAATCAGTACTATTTTGATATTTGAGAGATGCTGTAATTTATTTATTTAAAACATTTATATCCCATCTATACCAAATAGGTCTGAAGACAGCTCACAACCATAACAACACAATGAAAGTACAATATAAACATGTAACAACATTCTAATCTTACAATGTAAAAATGACAATATTGGGTGAATAAAGGCTTTTGGCCTGGTGCCAAAATGAATAAAGCATTGGTGCCAGGCATACCTCTCTGGGGAGCAGGCCCTAGGGCTGGGACACTTCTGCAGAAAATGCCCTTTTCCAGATAGCTACTCTTCTAACCTCCTTCAAAGATAGCTCCCAAAGAAGGACCTCCATGGAAGACCTTAAGGTTTGAGCAAATAAATCCAGGCTCCAAACCATTTAGGGCTTTATATGTCAAAGTTAACACTTTAAATTGGGCCTGGACTTCAATCAGTAGCCAGTAAAGGTGATACAGGACTGGCGTTATATGATCACAGTTGCCAGTCCCCGTCAAAAGCCTATGGTCTATTTTGTACTAACTGAAGTATCTGGACTGTTTTCAAGGGCAGCCCCACATGGAGCACATTACAATAGTCCAATCAGGAGGTTATCAGAGCATGGGTTTCTGTTGCTAGATTCTGCCTATCCAGTAAGGACCAGCTGAAGATAGTGGAAGATGCTCCTTGCCACAGCAATCACCTGGAATTCCAAAGATAACTCTGGGTCAAGGAACGCTCCCAGACTATGTACCTTGTTCCTTAGGGGGAGTGCAACCCTGTCCAGAACAGGGCAAAGATCACTTACCTGGAGAGGCAAACCATCTACTAACAGGACCTTTGTCTTATCTGAATTAAGTCTCAATTTATTGGCCCTCAGTCCAGCCAGACAAGGGATGCAGGTGGTGCAGTGGTTTAAACTGCTGTGCTGCTGTGCTGGTTGATGAAAAGGTCACCAGTTAGCATCTGTACAATGGGGTGAGTTCCCGTTGCTCCGTCCCAGCTCCTGCCGACCTTGCAGTTGGAAAGCATGCAAATGCAAGTAGATAAAAAGGTACCACTTTGGTGGGAAGGTAACAGCGTTCTGTGCACCTGGGTATTTAGTCATGGTGGCCACATGACCATGGAGACTGTCTGCTGGCTCCCTCGGCTAGGAAACAGAGATGTGCACCGCCCCCTAGAGTCAGGCATGACTGGACTTCACATCAAGGGGAAACCTTTACCTTTAACCAGCCAGACACCAATTAAGGACAGCCACTGCCTCACCTGGATCAGATGGCTGGAATACTTGGAAGTGTGATTCATTTGGACCACATCAGGAGCCTTTTGGGTTGTGGAGGGCTGTGCTAGGCTGAACAGATGCAAAGGAAGCCAGGGGTCATGGGCCTTTAACTGTTGGGCAGAAGAGGATCCAGAACAGGACACATATCACCCACCAGGGCAGCTGAACCACCTACCAACAGAACCTCCATTTTATCTGGATTAAATCTCCCTTTGTTGCCCTTCATTCAGACCATCACACCATCCAGACACCGATTCAGAACAGTCACTGCCTTACCTAGATTAGATGTAAAGGAGAGCTATAGCTGGGTGTCATCAGCATACTGGTGACACCTCAGTCCAAACCTCTGGATGACATTTCCCATAACTTTTGTGTAGATCTTACATAGCATGGGGGATAAAATGGAACCCTGCAGAACTCCGTGGCATAATTGCCATGATGCAGAGTCAGCACCACCTTCTGGAATAGGCTGGCCAAGTAGGAGCAGAACCACTGCAAAGCAGTGCCTCCAACATTTAAATTAAATTAAATCATTTATTACACAGAGTCAAAACAAATACTGGCAGTGCCCTAAAGAAAACAGTGCATGTGGATAATCAGCAGGTTCAGATGATACGCCATCTGGTAGGCACCATGCCTTCTCTGTATAAAACTTTTCCAATGATGGAACAGATTTGCAGAGCAACAGTATTAAAATCATTTTCAATAGTTGGGTCCAGTAGTTCCTTTTATAGTTCATTTTGCTGTAAAAATTAAAAGCAATAAAATTGCTATCGATTGAGCCTCTTAATCATAAAATAGAATATTTTGCAGTGTAATACTGGAAAACAGAAGAGGGCAACACCAAAACACAGATGAAGAGAAAAAAGGGGTGAGGACTGAAAAGGCTGTGAAGACATATAAAAACATAATTAAAGGAGTCAAATGCCCAATTTGTTTCTATTACAATTTCCTCAGGAGCAAAATCTGGTCAGTGATGTTAGTGAATTCCTGGGATAATAATAAGATGATCCTTTCCATTGCACCCTAATTGATAGCTTGTTTGTATCATCTGGCAGACAGCAGGGCTTTGTAGATCTTGGGCATGATGCAATAAGGTTAAACACTTGAAGAAAAGTTGCTGCTTGGATTTTGGAGTGATAGTATTTCAGCTCAAAAAGCAATTCCATGGAAGAGTAGTAGAACAAAGAGTTAAGCAATATCCCATGGATTTTTGTATTATATGGTTGATTAGCAGATATTATGAAAGTCAAAGCCTTTATTATTTGCTAATCTTTTCCCCTTTCCCTTTTCAGGATGTTTACATCTATAGGCTACTTTGGTCTGTCACTTAATACCCCCAACTTGCATGGAAATGTCTACTTCAATTGTTTCCTGTCAGCAGTTATTGAAGTTCCAGCCTATGTGATTGCTTGGCTTCTCCTCCGGACCTTACCTCGGTGTTACTCAATATCTGGCACACTCTTCCTGGGAGGAGGGGTTATTCTATTCATTCAGCTAGTACCTCCAAGTATGAACATCCACCTGTTTAATATAGCAGTCTTTGACAATGTTGTATGAGGACTCTAGTAGAAAATTTGGAAAAAAAACAAAACTTGAGCTCAGCATGTAAGGTTGTGCTTAAGGGATCAAGATGACACAGAATTATCTAGTTTGCCTCTCTGAGCCAGGAAACATTTTAATATGTTTATTCTAAACAGATATCTGCAAACACAGAAGATTGCAGCCCTGTCAGTATGAAAGTTCCCCAAGCCTCACCATGTAGAAAATAAAAGCTAATGATAAGACGAGGTTTTCTTGGTGCTTTCACTGAGAAGTGTCTTCATGTAGCATTCTTGCAGAAATTTGTTTGCAGCTATCATGAATGGAGACACAGCTCTTAATTAATGGGTTTACATCTATTATCAATATTGCAGCACTGTATTAGCTAAGAAATTTGCTTTGGTGACATGCTAGAGGCATTATCCAAATTTACTGCCTGAAGCTCTTAAAACTTTTCTACTTGCAGTATAGTCTCAGGTGTTTTATACCTGTGTTTTAATCAAGTACTATAATCTACAAACAAGGTACAAATGTTGCTTTGATTTGGTTCACCTAACACGACTTAAAATCAGTGTGTAGGAAAGAAGGAAAAGCAGTTGGAGTAGAAAGGGGAAATGTTGAAAAGTAGTTTCATAAGGAGCATAGGGATCTTATTACGACTGTTCTGTCATCCCACAGGCCTCTACCCTCTGTCTGTTACCTTGGTGATGTTGGGGAAGTTTGGGATTACATCTGCCTTCTCCATGCTTTACATCTATACTGCAGAGCTCTATCCAACCCTAGTACGAAACATGGCAGTGGGTGCCACCTCCATGTCATCCCGAGTGGGCAGCATCATTGCTCCTTACTTTGTTTTCCTTGGTAAGAAGAATCCTAGTACTGATGTTGTACTTTAAACGTCTTCTAAATACTTGAGAGATATTCTGGAAGGTTTGCCTACAATTTCTAGGTAGCACTCACATAAGTCCGGGGTTTATCAGCTATATCTGATTCACGCCTTGCTTCAAAATCTGCAACATAAATCTTACCGGGGGCGGGGAATGCATTTTAAAAAGTTAGTTCCCAGTTCCCATCCAATGATGACTTATAATTTCTGTTAGTAGTTCTAGTAAGATTACTGAAGTGTTATATATTTGTGGCATATTAGAGAGCATAGAAAATGAACTATGGAGACATCAGTGGCGACTGAGCTACGAAACTTGATGAATGAACTTGTATCAATCAGTATATTTCAGAGTCTTGATGGGATAACATGCACAAACTAATGCATGCTGCCTTATAGCTTAGAGGAATGTCGGCATTCAAATACAATAAATTAATTTTATACCTCAGTTTTCATGCAATTGTATATTAAATAGTGCCACTGTGTGTATTTCCCCAGGTGCCTATGATAGATTTCTGCCTTATATCCTAATGGGCAGCCTCACCGTGCTGGTAGGCATTCTAACCCTCTTCCTCCCAGAAACCCATGGGAGCCCTCTACCAGAAACATTTGAAGAGATGCTTCGAATTAAAGGGTAAGCCATTTTTTCCTGAAATAACAGCTTCCCACTGATACCATCCTACAGCTAAGAAGTCTAAAGTACTTCAAGTCATGAGGCAAAAAGATAAATTTAGTTGGGTTTTATGCAAGTGTCAACATCATACCAGGAGCAAAACCATAACAGAAAACATGTTTTTCTTTAAAGTTCTTACATAATAAATGGTTGAATTGTGCAACAGGAAAACTTGCACATTTAGGAGATTTTTATGAGAAATTATTGAACTACTTTGTCTCCTTCCTGCTGCTTTATATGGGCTAACATTCCAATCCCTTACCAGACATGCTAGAAAACAATTATGTTTTGCATTTAAATGTTTTCCTTCTCTCATTCTGTTAATTGTGTTCCATTCCATACTAGAAGTTTGTCACAAATTGTGAGCATGGGTGAGAGTAGAACTTAATATTGCTTACTTTACTGCTCCTAAATTTAATACTGGGACATAAATTTAATACTGAAATGCCTTGCCTCATTTTAGCCAGAATTGGGCACAAGGCTGAATAATGTTCACAGGCAAATCTATCCATCTGTTCACTGGAAAAGCATGGGGTGGTTCTTTGTGCAAAAGTCAAGGCTTTGCACTATATGTGAGCAAAGCTTGTCCAGTCACCCTGAGTCTCAGTAAAACTAAGTTTTTTACTGTGGGTACAATCTTCAGTTACTTCCTTCTAATTGCTGAAACTGCTTTGGAAGATAATCCAGACTCAGCATCATCAGTTGGATTATTTCTTCTTTGTTTACTAGCATATTGAATTTTCTCTTGTTTAAGAAGGGTAATCTCATTCCGTTTTTAGTCCTTTTTTCAACTAAGATCTTAGTAGTCTTAAACAAATTCTTTATTTTTCTGGACACAAGAGAACTACTCATTCATTCTCATTTCCCTTTTATACAGTTACAAGAAATGCAATCTGGGTTTTACTTACTGGGTTTGCTTATAATATGGATCACTCTGATGAATTAACATGATTATGGAACCCTTTTACATGCTTTAAGAGCATCCTGTGTGGTATGTTGGCTCAAGTGTATGCAGATCCCCACTTGGTCATGAAGTTCACTGGGTAACTTTGGACTAGTTCCTGCTTCTCAGGATAGCCTACTTCACAAGGTTGTTATGGGGATAAAATGCAAAGCGAGAAGATCATGTATGCTGCCTTTGGGCTCCTTCAGAGGAAAGGGTGGAACATTTATTTATTTATTTATTTATTTATTTATTTATTTAATTCATTTATATACCACTCAATAGCCAAGACTCAAAGATTAATTACATAGAGAAGGTGCCAAGGTGAAGTCATGTGAGAAGCTGATAGAATACTTAGAATAATAATTTCTAAACCAAATTAAATTACACCTTCAAGACCCAGAATAAATTTTGTTAGAAGACTCATGGATTCATACATAAGTTCTTTGCATACATAAAAGGTTAATTTTTGAAATTTCTGGTCGATTATACCCTGAGAAGTTCAAAGCAGCTTACCTCTGGTCCTAAGCATTCTCATGTCTCAGAGCCAGACATGCAAGGCTGCCAGAGAAGAGACAAAACATATGCTTTCAGACCATCCTCTGTGCCAAATGACCTCAGTTCAAATGAGGATCATGTCTCCATCCTAATTTTTAAATAAAAGCCTACTTTTCAATATATGGGGTCTATATTTTATATTCCTAGTTCTTTATCTGCAACTTATAGAAAGACAGACATGGTGGAAACCGTGGGATAAGCCCACCTGAACACAGCTAAGAGCCCATTAAACGCCTACTGCCTGGTCTAAGGCAATGATAATGGCAAAGAAATATTACAACTTTCTCACTATTGTGCCTGTCATCCAGCAGGGCATTTCTAGATTTTATCATCAATTTTCAGTGTTTCTATAGCACTTCTTATCAGATTCTAAAGTGGAGAACAGTTAAAATGAATGCAAGAATAAAATCAGTATATTAAGAACATTTTAAAACAGCATAATATTAAGAGTGTGGGTGATCAGCAAGAAAAGTTTTTCTGGGATGAGACTGACTTTAACAGGCACCAGTGTTGCTGCCTGCCTGATCTCCCAGTGCAGGGAATTCCATAGAAATGGAGCCACCATGCTGAAATCTCTTCTTGTGCTGATGGGCCAGGATCTATGTGGAACCACTAGAAGAATGTCCTCTAATGTCCAGGCAGGTTGGTAAGGAAGGAGGAGGTCTCTCAGGTATCTTGGTTGCAGGTTGTTCATTAACAGCCTGTTTCATCTTGGCCTTAACTGCAAACAGGCATAACCCACTGTGACATGCATGCTTAGCACTTTAGAACTTAGAAGCCATTTCACTTGGATATACAGGAGGTATTCCCAGCCTTTGTCTGCAGAATTTCCAGTCTGGCCCAACTGCCCAAACAAGGTACAAATAATCACAATGAATACTCATCCAGACCAGAAGCATGGAGAGGAAACTGGAATTCTGAGCCCCTGCAGCTTCTGCCCTCACTGTTCCTACACAGATGGGTACAGTGAGAGAAACACACACTCCCAGTAATTCCACCCACACCCCAGTCCAACCAGGAATGGTACATTCTTTATTAAATCACAGATGACTAGAACTGCTGCATTCAGCAGCAGGTCAGAGGACAAGCTGACTTGTTAACCAAGATCCTTCTTGTTGGGGGCAAGCAGGCATAAGAAGTGAAAAATTCTTCCGATCTCCTTGCTTGTCTGGGTTCTCCACCACCATCACATCACCCCTTATCTGTAACCCTTCTTACAGGGCCACTGTAATCCCTTTTCAGTTTAAATGAATTGCCCTGCTATGTAATACAGCAGTAAATCAAACAGAGCAACATCTTTGTGCCTCCCAAAGTGGAAGTACCGTTTGGTGTCAGTCCTTCAACCCAAAGACTCTATTCCACGAAACTGATGGAAGATGATGTAATCTAGCAGGAGCTGCTGGAAACTGCTGAATCAGGCCTGGGACTGTCTGGGAAATTTACCATCCATAAGTAAGATGTGAGAAAACTTTAGGTAATTCTACATGAAAGTGATTATCAAAATTCCTATAACTTTGAATTCTGCAGTTGAAAGTCCTTTGCTCTCCCTGATGCTGTGGAGGTTGCAAGCGTAACAGGAAATAAAGGGTGTGTAACATAGTTCAATTACTTTAGCTTTCCCCATGAATGCAACAGAATATACTGAATCCACAGGATTGCTAATGTACAACAGTGATTACTAAGATTCAGCAATGCTCCAAATACGGAACACAGGCTTTCAGATTGTACAAAACATTTTCTCACTGTGGATGTTTGAAAACAAACAAACAAAAAATGATTTAGGTACACTCCTGAAATATTGCTGTTTCAATCCTAAAATAGCATAATACTCCTGCAACCTGACTCTCTGTAAGCTTACTTGAAAGTAAATCCAGTAAATAAATCCCACTCAGGGCACCATGAGCATTTCTTAATCATTGCCTTAACTTAATTAAATTAGAAGTTTGTCTTAACTAGATGAAAGCAGTTCCTTGCCTAAATGCATCATGTAATACAGAAGAGTATTTAGCCAACTAATTTGCCACTGCTGTCTAATGAGCATGATTTCCTATTTGTTTTCAGATTCAGAAACAGAAAACACAGCTACAAAATAGGAAATTCAAAGCAGAATGTACTGAACACCAACAACCCGAGAACATCATTGTGATCGTATGTCTTTGACTTTTGACAAAATGGACCAATAGGACTTGTTAAAATGTAGTTCTGCACATGAATGACGTTATTAACACTATGAGGGAGATGATCCTACAGTTCACTACAGTGGTGTATCAAATGCATGGAGTTTCTGTCAAGTTACTGTCAGCATATGTAAGACTCCTTCATCAGTAGTTATTTTTATGCCTTGGATTTTGGGCTTGTTACGTGTTTTGTTTTTGTGAAGTCTTGAGCACTTTCATATCCTTCAGATTTATATATTAAGTGGTTTTTAAAAAGCAGGCAATCAAATGTTGGGAGAAGTATATAGAATTTCAAAAGTTGTAGTTGATGCCATATCAAGTTCCTTTGAGCCTAAAGTATTTTTTAATGCCCTAAGGAACAACTGGACCTATTATGTATCCAACAATCTGTAGTGTTATGAACTGAATGCAGCATTTTACCAGCAAAGTACTTATACAGTGGAATTAATTAATTTAGAAAAATTTAAAGGGAATAATACTTGAAAGCAAAAGTTTGACTCTAATGAAATGAAGCGATACAATTTAAAAGATTTTGAAAAGCAAGGCACATTCTTTGAACTTTTCTTGTTGTCAGGAGTAAACACCGGCAATATTTTCCTCCATTGATTACACCAGATGATATTTCTGAAATTCCACACCTTTAAACCAGCTGACATTAATTGCTAGACTATAAAGCAAGAACAATGTCCATGATGTATTCTTTGACCTTCTTTTTCTTTCCTTCTTCCCGTGCACACACAGCTCTACTTCCTGTTCCCCCACACAAAATTCTTAAATTCTGCTTGCTTGTAGTATATTCACCAAGCTATTCACTGAGTCTAAACTAACAGCATTAGAGATTGTGATTTCCTGGGACAAGGACTAATGCAAAAAAGACGTTGTGCTTGTGTTATCCTGCCAAGAGAAACTATGCAGAAGCTGGAACTTCATCATTTTTTGTTCTATGTACCATAAACTTATACTTTTAAGGCAAACATAGTAAATTGTTTTTAAAAAGTGATGAGTGTGCTGCCTATAACCATAGTTATTGCCTCTTGAGCTTTTGAAGAACTTATTTGCTGAGAAAAAATACTAGCAAAATAATTCTTTAGAAAGCAGCTAGTGAACCAGCATTGGCATATATACCCAGTAATGCTCAGATGCAATTTATTGCACACTTAACTGTAAAATTGCCACAAACAGCCCATGTCATTGCTGTTAACGTATGAAACAGAACTGATAAAAGATGAAGAACTAACATGGACATAGCTTCTTTTCACTTCCTAAAGCCCCAAGTTATCAATATGCCACATGTATTCTTGTTTTCTGACATCAGGTCTTATCTGTAGCAAATTGAAAGACTGAACTTGTGGCAAGGAATCCTGTGTTAAATTGGATTCCTTTTCTTTAGTCATGTCCTCTACAAAACTTAAGGGTCTGATATTCCACATTCTACATGGAGACTCGTGTCTTCCTTGGAACAGCAATTTGGAGTAGGGTTGGAGAGCAAACTCTGCCAGAGTTCTTGAATTTAAGCACCCTTCCTGATCTGAAGGTGACACATTTGGGACTAATTGCAATTAGCCTAAGAAACCTACTAAGCGTTCTTGAGAAAGAATGCTGTAAATCTACATTCCAAAATTAGCTAATTTTTCAGGAAATTTTTCAGGAAGCATTACACTGAAAGGAGGGATTGTTAAATTTCATCTGCTCTGTTTATCATTATTTAAAAATTTTGGAAAATGGTACTTGACTATTTTAATAAGTCTTTTTTTTAAAAAATGCACAACAAATTTCCATACATAACATAATTCTACCAAGTATTTTGGTTAGGGTTTGCTATTAGTGCTCTAGTTATCATACCCAAATGTTATTCTGTGACTGGAAAGTTTTAAGCAATGGCTACAGTTTCTTGGTAAGAAGCCTGATGATCTCAATTGCTCTCCCAGGCAGGCTTTTCATATCTGTAATGGATACAGTTGTTTGTGTGATGTGTATGTAACATGGCATATGTTTATGTAGGTATTTTACACAAAAATAATGATATTGATCCTGTTTTACATTGCTGTAACTATTTTTAAAGTTTTAGGTATTTATTTTTTGTTTGTTTGTTCCTTTGACAATTTAAGATTCTCTCACTTTTTGACAATTTCCAATTTAGTTCCTTAGGCAGTGATATACGCCTAAACATAGAGCTGCACATTCTAAAGATTGTGATACTGTAAAATAATTGTTTTAGAAGGATACATTCTGTAAAGATTTCCCTAATATTTTATACAGTATAAAGTCATGGGAGTATTGTAACCTTTTAACACATGTGTGGTAGTGTAATGATTTTGCTCAGTACTAGAAACTATGGAACTGAGTCCCTGCTTACTCTCATGTAATTTAACTTCTGAAGTATGATGTGTAACTACATATTCAGCTGAAGAAATGCACCATGGTATTTCTATGTGTATTACATGTGCTATAAAACCTTGAGCACTGCAGGGACTAGAATGGATTCTAACATGTTAAATCTTTACAGTATTGAACATTTAAAGTGTTGTGGTGTGTTTGGTGGGTGAGGGGTGATAGTTCTAAGTAAAATGTACATCTTCTGCCTTAAGTTCTCTCAGGAATTTGCCAGGTGGTGGTTGCACTAGTCCAAAGATGATAAATGGAAAGACTTCTGATGTTGGGACCTTATTTGTCCTTTGCTTTTCTTTACGATAAATCCTCCAGACAGTATAGACTCAAACTTTGATTTACTGTTTGGGGACTAGTTCATCTTTCTACTACAGCCCTATATAACTTTGGTGAAACCTAGCTTATCAACTATGTATGGATAAAGCAGCAGGATAAAGCTCCCTGTTTTTGCTCCCTGCTTGGATACAAATTAGAACAGTGCCAGGCACCCAATAGGCAGTAATAAATAACTATCTGGCTTAGAGGGCTGACAAGTTATGGTGAACGGGCCCGTTCTATGGCAACCTCTGTAAAGTGCCTGCTGGTGGGTTTGGTGTAGGATGATTAAAATGGGTTAACAAAAGTGATCCTGCTAAACTGAGTGGGGGTTGCCCTTTCCCTAGACTTTGCCAGCTTCCATTTGATACATTCCCTCTCCATTCCATGTTATATCTGAATGATGTAGAGTATTTGTTTAGATCTCCAAAGGTTTGTTTGTTTGAGTTCTGAAATGTGCTATGCATCAACGTGTAACTTTTGCTGCTTTATTTTTCCTCATTGACATTAAAAAATGCACTAATCTGATTTATGTGTTCTTTAAGTACAAGTGGATGGTATGAAAAGTATGTACTTGATTAAGTTACTGATGAAGTTCTCATTTGGCAGCTGGATAAGAAGATAGTGTTATTTGTATGAAGTATGTAATACAATAGCTGAGTAAGGATGGGGTTGGAGGACACCAGTTGAAATATCTCAGCCTGAAAATAATTGCTACTGATCTTACGATAACTGTGCATATAATGAGCATAATACGAAACAAAAGATACTCAAAGGTAATCATGAAAGAACAAAGTAGTCTACCCTGTTTTCAGCTTTTGTGCTTCTTTCATATGTAATAGCAAAGTCCCAAAATAATGGGCTCATATTTTCTGGTGATAAGAGAATTGACTTTTTTTAAAAAAGAAGCATCTTGGCGTGCTAAACTTTTTTCCATGATTAAGATCTCTGGCCCTTGAAGCCAAATTGGTTACCACAGTTACCTCTCAGAGTAAGAAGTAGTAGCTCTTTGGATCCATTAGCTCACTGGATAGATATTCTGGAATCCTGCAGCAGCCATTATGCCAAGTGACAGATTACACAGGGTAGCTGTGTCAGTCTGCTGTAGCAACAATAGACACAATTTCCATATCGGACACTGACAGGATGAAACAACTGAGCATTCCTTGGCACCTCAAAGGCTAATTATGTGTACTTCACAACCTTGTTAGAAGGACCGTGTATGCATCCACATTCATCGGCTAGTTTATTCTGACTGTGTACAACTGACTTGGTGGGCATGTCGTGAGTGGAGCCGGGGGTCAGACTAGATGGCCTGGGAGACCCCTTCTGACTCACTCTTTTTCTATGACTTGGGTTCTTTAGTTGGATGAAGGCAGCAGAATGAGTATCCACAAAATCCCGTGGGCATCTAGGTACTGTCTAGTGGCCATAGAATTGCTCTAAAAGAACTGCAATTGACAAAGCTGGTAATGCAAATAATGGCTCAAAATGCAGGCTAAGACTAGCTATTTTATAAAAGGACTGGATTATAATCTTGTACCTATTCATCTGTTGGAAACTTGAATCCAACAGGCAACTTAATATATTAAAATGAGTTAGATCCAACCTGTGAAGAGTCGCTGGCTCATCCAAAAGGAATTTATCTTTTCTTCATCCCACCTGTAGCCCCTAATGTACCACTGCTCTGGATGCTATCCCTGACACTTCAAAACAGATCTGAATGAGAAGGGATGCATGCAGGAGGATGAGGAATTCTTGCCAGCATCAAGGGGAAATAACTCTAGTTTGAGAACTATCCTGAAACTTTAATAGCTGTTCCCATTAGAATGTGCCTAGCATAAGAGCACAAATACTTCACATATTGATGCACATATAGTGTGGCTGTATTTTAAATCATTAACTATATTTAAAACAACTACAGTAATAACTTTCTAATATGGTACAGTAGTTAACAAAATTTAGAGCAAGAAGATTAAAGATGCAACTCACAAGAACATACCAATTGTTACAGCAGTGACACCCTGCTAAGAATGAGCCTTTGTGGTGTATTTATTTACATAGTGTTACTTCTTACTCCTTTTCTCACAGCTCTTCATAACTATGTAGACATCAACTTGCATTAATAGCTATTTTTTTCTCCAAGTGATTTCTGTCCAGGAGAATTAACCTGGTTACACTTAAGTACCCCAAACTTAACCACACATCTGGCATTACAGTCAATTTATCCTGTTTGCTGATTCATACAGCTTTGTGTTAGTTGCTAGTTCTTTTTTCTGCATCTCTTTCTGCTTTTTGCTTTATCTTCAGAGTCACTGCTTCCCCTTATTTTAATGAGCCTGTTTTTACTTGAGGCTTGAGGTTTTTTCCCCTTTACAATGGCCCTTAACTTGGTTCAAGCAAAATGTTGGTTAATTTTATTCATAGCAGTGTCTGTTCTACTGGTAGGACCCCCAAAATTTGGTTACTGGTTCATCCAGAACATACAAAAATGTTTGGCATATCTAATTGCTTTTATTTTTTGAAAAGGCCAATGGAATAGGATTTTTTTTAGTAAGTATGCATTACTTGCCGTCCAATACTTCCAGTTGTAAGAAGCCTGAAAACTGTGTGTTAACTTCATTAGTCTTCATTGTCCATGCAGAGAGGAAAATATGAGAGATAAACAAAAGTGCTATCTAACAAAACAAGATGAATTTTCATAGCAAAGCCAATCTGAATGAAAATATTTCTGACCTTGCTTGTTTGCACAGCCTCCACAAAGGCCCAAGATTATTTGAATTCCTGTTTTGAAAAACTGCATGATTAACTCTGTTTAATTAAAGCAAATCTGAAGTGAAGTGCCTTTCTCATATCTTTGAACCTTTCAGCCTCACTTAAAATAGTGTGCCTTTCTCATGGTTTTTGCATAATTTTATCCATCTGCAACCCTTACATTTTATTATTACTGAATCTGAAATATTACTGCGTGTTAAGCAAAAATAGTCTGGTTTATGGAGTTGTCCAGAAAATGAAAAGTGCAGAATGGAACACTGCATTTTCAAAGATGATGGACCAGTCACTGTTTATGTCTTCATCCAGCAGACTGACATACAACAAACTATCACAGCACCTGAAAAGAGTAGAATGTGAATGTTTGCAACCTGTTCCTATATTCCATCTTAAGACTCTGACCATGTATATGTCATCAAGTCAGGGTTTTTTACCCCCTCCCCACCTCCTACTTAAAAATCTTGTCTGATCTGGAGATCTTGGAAAGCTTGTGCAATATTTTGTGACTTTTCTGAGTTGCTCTAATAAGGATGCTGCCTTTGCTACAAGACACAAAGTTGTCACAGATTTACATTCTTGAATCAGCCATACCTATCTACATGCACAAAAATTCTCCAGTGCTTCAGCCAGTTCAGTGGTTCAGACTTTATTTCTTTATGCAACTCTGTACTCTGCCCATTAAAGATAAAATTTGATATTGTTTATGCAACAATCTTTAGAAGAAAAAGGAAGGAGAACTCAAGAATTCATTGGTCTTGCTATGTAACATAGATTTTTATGGTCTTTTGCTATACTCCTTTTCAGGTAAACAAATCAAAGGTCAAAGTGAATGTAGGGATAGTTTTCCCAGTATAACTGATTGTATAATCAAGTGCCAAATAGTATTCTGGTTGGAAAGCTGTTGTGCTTCCCATCACAGTATAAATTATTACATTTTTGTCTTTTTTACATGCATGGTCATTCCTTCACATAAAAGACTTACTTTAAAAGAACTTTTTATATGCGAAGCAGAAAAGTACAAGCCAGTTCACACACATGCCGCGACAGATTCAATTGTCTGTGGAAAATCAGAATCTGTAATTTAAAAAAAAAAGACAGGGTCAGGCCAATATAGGCCAAGATGTAAGGACACCAAAACTGCAAGTTAATCTGTCTGGTAATAGTTATTACTTGATTAATGAAGTGCTTTTTGATATATATGTATTATGGGAGGATCGGTGTTGTATTTTGTACTTTGTATATAATAGTTAAAAGTAACTGGGTACAACTGAAGGAAAGTAATCTGTGTTGTATAATAAGTATTCTCCTGAGTATTGGACCTCTAATACAAAATATGCACTTCAGCAAGTCATTAACAGTGAAATAGTGTATCTTCATTGCCTGGGCCCTAGAATGTGGTAGAGAATGTCAAATGTTTTCAGAGTCTGGGATTTTTTTTTTTCAGCTGGACGTTCAAAGGCTCTTGAGTAGTTTATACCTCCAAAAGCTCATCATAGTAAAATGAAGTACAACATTTTGGTGCCTTTAATTTTGTTGGGTGCAGTGTCTTCTGAATAAAGCAGTGTTAAATATACAAGCTTTCTAGCTTCCCCTTTGACCATATAACTAAGAGCAGCAACTTAGCAATTTTATGGCTATTGAATCTCAAGGTTTATTTGACAGTTGCTTTCTGGAAGCTGCACTCTTTTTTCCAACAACAACAACAAAATAGGTAGAAATGTCTACCTTGATTCTAAGCATATTTGTGCCAACAAATCAGACTGACCTTAAAAATTTTTATCATGTAATTGGCTTCAGACGGAGGTGATAGGCACATGCAACAATCCTTTGGTGATTACATTGTTTTCAGGCTGCCAGAATAGTGCTGTCATATGATGCTTTCTAGATGTTAAAGCAAGCAGGATGAAAGGTTAGTATAGTGATTAAATAATTATCTGCAAAGTAATTGTCCTTCAAATTGCATTCAATAGACACAATACAAGACTCAAAGCGTCTTGTTCTATAAACTTAATCCCACAAACCTCTTTCAAGGTCCTTAACTCTGTCACCACAAGAAACGTCTCTAAAATTTACTTAATAATTTCCCACAGGAATCAGTGTATAACTTAACACTGCATATTTTGTGTTCCTTGTTAGGTAGCCTAGCAAGGGTATTGATGAAAAGACATGATATCTTTCTGCAAATATATGGCAAAAGAGAAAGTAAGTATGTACAAATCAGGAAATTTACAGCTATGAACAATTACAAGTTGTTCCATTTCCCATAACAGAACTGTGTTTAAAAAAGTATATTTCTAAGATTCCACCCTGTAATTTATTACTATAATAGTCAAACCAGCCATGCTCACACTGCTTCCCTCCACTAAGGACAAAATAGATTCTCTGGTCACAGTGAGGCCAACATTTCATTGTATGTGTCTAATAGCCAGTACAGGTGAAGTTATGGCATGCATAGTAAATTGTGGCAGCATTCAGAGACTAATGAAAGTGTGTTACTGCCTTAGCTAACAAAGCTATTTTGTGGGTTTCAATCTAACAATAAGTAAATTTCTTAGATGCTTTAATCTTGCAAAGACACCAAAATCTGTCACCAAAATCTCATCAGGGATTTAATATAAAGGGCAGCACATATAGATAACTGGGTTCAAAAGTCAGCAGTCCTTCATGGGTTGCTTTGTTGTCCAAACTGAGGAAAAAGCAGTTTTATTGTGGAGTGCCATGGAGCCTTTGAACAAGAGTGACTAAAAGTGCTGCTCCTTCTCTGCTGGCAAACCATCTTGGTTACCAAAGTTCCTCTAACATTCTATGGAGCAGCAGCCTGTGCTCTTCCTCTTTTCTTGGCCGTTTCCTGCCCCACATCCTGTGCATTTCACAGCTTCACTGGGGGAAATAGACAAAAGGGTAAACCGGGAGGAGGAAGCCCGTTGCAGAAGGATTCTTCACAAGGCTAAGGCTGATTACGAGCTGAGACTTGCCAAGAATATCAAGAGCAACAAAAAGGGCTTCTTTCAGCATGTAAATAGGAAGAGGAAGGGGAGACAAGTGGTGGGACCACTAAGTAAGGAGGAAGGAGATCCAGTGACTGATATGAGGGAACAGGCACAGATGCTA